AAAGACTCACGTTACTCGGCAAGTTGCAGCTTAAGGGCTTTCACTCAATAATTGACAAAATATCAAAGCGTCTGATAAAACTCGCTTAAGAAACGGCAGCTTTTTTTTCTTTATGGACCTCTTATGGGCAGCTTAATCTAACTATAATGCCTAAACCCTGCTTAGTTCTCAAGTTGTTAAAAAATTCGATAAAAATATTTAAATCACACCTTTGATTTCTAAAGCGAATGTGGGCCGTTCTTCAACCAAATTGTGAAATAGGGTGTTGTTGAAATTTTTTCCGAGACAGGGCGTTTTCGAACTGGCTGCCGAGATAGGTCGATGTTCCACTTAGCCATCGATATGTAATATCTTCAATATTGACAAAAATAAATACTAAATACTTTTGTTGTATTTTTTCAAATATTTACAATTTGCTTTGCAAATTCTTTATTCAATTAAGGCTAACTTCGTAAAATACATAAATACATATGTGTAATACATCCATGCACATGGTTAAATACATACTTACAAATATGTGTTATCGCAAAAATACTAAAATTTTATATACATACATACATACGTAATTAAAATTAATAAGAAAAATGTATAAAGTTTGATATTTAAGTGGAAATGTAATAAAACATTCGAATGGAACTAGATAGTGGTAAAAAGATATTTATGATATGAATATAAAGTTCAAATAGCTATAGTTTAAGAGAGTCCATAACTTGGAAATCGCGCCTTTTTTGCTGAATTCTTTGCCAGTCTACTAATCAATGTAATCCTATTTACTTCGAACTCACCCGGTGTGATAAATATGAACTACTTAACGAAATCGGTAGGCTGTGGCCACGTTTGAGCGCCTCCTCACGCGGTACCAGCTCGTGTGTTGTGGGTGTCACAACAGTGTATTGCGTTCTTGGCGCCAAAACTGTGTAATACGAATGCACCGGCACGCGCACAGTTTCAATGGTGGTAAGCTGCGGCCGCACCAAAGTCAAATCGGATTTATCTTGCAAGTCCGTAAGACGAAGCAAATCTTTGGAGGAGCTCTCGCCATCACCTTCGTATGTATACAGAGCTCTTGAGCTGAGCTGGTCATCTGTGCTCACTAAATCGGATAGTTTGTATGTTGTCATTTGCCTTTCTGCGCTGGACAATTCTCTCGATGCCGCCGATGCTTCATTCTCTTCCTCTCCATTTTCTATCGTCACATTATCGCCATCACTAGTATTTCCCTCCTCTTCGTTACCCTCGCTGTCATCTTGTGAGATTTGCAAGCTATCAATGGATAATAAACCACTATTATCTTCGTCGTCCGTATTGGCCACCTCCTCTTCTTGATCTTGGGTAGTCTCGACATTAAGTTCCTCCTCTGCACCGCCATTCAAATTGTTGTTACTGGGTGTATTTTCTGCACTAGCACTCTCTGACAATATAGCTAATATTTTAGTCCTTGTACTCTCCAAAATATCCGCCACCTCCTGTTGTGAACGCTCTGGCTTTTGTGTCTCTTCCAAACTGAGCTCGTCCAGGCGTGAAGCTTCATTTTGTGACGCCAGCGCTGCTCTCAGCTCCGCCTCTCGATATGCCTCAAAGTGCGCCTTCTTTGCTTCCTGCACTTCAGCTGTATCTCTCACGGGTAGCGGCGCCAACCTATTCGGATTCTTTGGCGCTTTGGGTAAGTTCGTCGCTGCCGCCTTAAAGCCCTGATTTCGTCCTGCTTCATACTTTACAGTTTGCAGTTTTCCATCTGCGTCAACATAGGAATAAAAACCACGCGACGAGCCGTCCAGTGTAAGATATTCGGCTTTGGCGGATCGACCAGCACTATAGCCATACGAATAGAAACCGTCCGAATCCTGTTCGTGATACTGTGTATTGGCTGGCGCTGTGTCCTTTTTTTCAAATGTCGCACTTTGCAATTTAGCCAGTAGTACCTTGGTGGGCGTATAACGAAATGTCGACGCTGTGGTTAGGGTCACCCAAACCAATGCGAGCATCAACCGCATTGTGTTGGTGCTTCGAAGGATGCTCAGTTTTTCGAAATGTCCTTGCTATTCTCACTACTCTGCGTATGCGTTATGACCACGCTTCAAAGCTGTAAAATTACTAAATTTAAACAGTGGTGAGTCGTTTTATTTATACCGCATAACACCCTTTCGAAGTGTGCCTAACGCACTCTATCTATCCGACCACTTGTCATGCATATTGTTGCAACAAGTTGTTGCATTTGCTCACAGTTTATAGAGCAGACATTGCGTGGTACTCGCAATATTTTCATTGTAAAGTACCGTCAGCAGTTTGTCAGCAGAGATGACCTCGAAATGCAGCCAATAGACAAGTACCGGCAGCCGCCATCAAACATCAACTACCAAGCTGGGGGGTATCAGTTGACACAGTCGTTGCCGGATTGTTTGACAGTGCGTCTGACATACTGGCACGGTGCTAGCTTACACATGTAAATATTTAACCAACATGGACGCGCGTCGTCGGCACATATGTTTTATGTGCGGCTGTATGTCGTTTGCTTCCGATGTTGTAATAACAAACTTCTTATATTCCAAACGGTACGCTGATTAACGCATGAAGGCCTATCAAATATCAAAACTGTTAAAAAAGAAGCGAGATTGTAAAATGTTGGAAATGGAAACGGTAAAACTATAGTACCTTGTGGTATGCTGAGTGACATGATGAAGTTCGATATTTATTATAAGAGGTTAATATGTGGTATGTTTACAAAAACAAAATGCCAGTTGAATGTGGCGAATTCAATATCTTCTTAATTTAATATGTTATTGTAATAATAATGCCAACGATTAGCCTCATTCCGCCCGAGTAGCATGTTAGGCGTAGTATCCATGATGTACAGATTTGAACAGGGACCGTAACAGTTACAACTTTTATTAAAAAAATCGCTATTTAACTATTATTTTTTGACTTTTATTTAATTACTCTTTAAATAACCGTTATTTCTGACTTTTATTTTATAAATCGAATATAACGATTATTTTTGATTTTTATATAAATAATCTGCAAATGACAGTTATTTTTGATTTTTAAATTATATGTCTTAGATAACAGTTATCGAAGACTTTTATTTATAAAAGTCATAAATAAAAATCAGTCTCAGTGACAGTTTATTTTTTAACTCATACTTATAAAAGTCATTTCAATAAGTTGTAGTAAAGNGTAAACTTTTGTTTCCCAACACATTTTTAGCTGCGAAAAATGTTAAAGACTTTTACACGAATGATTTTAAAAATAAAAGTCGGTGACTGATTTATATTGATGACTTTTAAAAGTAAAAGTCACTGACTGATTTTTATTGATGACTTTTATAAATAAAAGTCTTCAATAACTATTATCTAAGACATATAATATAAAAATCAAAAATAATGTTTTTTTTGGATTTATAATAAAAAAATCAAAAATAATTGTTATTTTTCTTTCATTTCCAGGTGAAAAAAGAAATCGATTGATATGTATCACTTAGTTGTAGAACATTTCCTTCATAGTGAATTTTTCCATGACAGTTTTCACCAATAACTGTTATGTTCGGTCCCTGGATTTGAATACTTTTTTACAGCGCTTTTATCAACTTGCAATGTTGTGTGTCCAGACACCATTTTAGCTATAAAACCTTTGCTTTGCAAAGTTCCTATAAAAAAGTCTAGTGCATAGGGCGACATCTACGTACGCTACAGCGGAAATGGACAACACGCCCCACGCTTTTCATTTTCAATCTCATACAATGTTTATAATGACTTTTCCTAAAATTTTAAAATCAAAAGTTATCAAAACGAATTCTATGGGACTGAAAATTATTATTTTCTACTTTTTAGTGCATTAATAAAAGCGTTGTATATTAAAAATGTTTTTTTTTTATATTATTTATTTTTCGAAGATGTCTTTGTGATGCAAATTTCTTCTACATCCCACAACACATCACCTGGAAAAATATTATACATGAAATGTCTACAGCTACCGTATATTTTAACGAATAATACAATGCACTTTCTTCTTATGGACGAAATTATCGTATTTGTCATACAGAAAAAAAATCAAGCCCCAATTAACTCGATGAACAATAATGTTGAGGAGAGGTAGTGTGGTTTTCCCACAAAAAATTTAATTAACAACGGCCTCAAGCTCAATAAAAATTGTTAGGGCTGTTTTCTCAAGTAGGTTTTAAAATTTATCTGCCTCTTAAATACAAATTTTGTTCTGAAAAAATGTGTTTGAAGATAAAAGCTACTTAAGAAAACGACATTTATTAGGCCAGAAAATAACAAAAACAAAAAAATTTAAAAGTAGAACAAACCCTGTCCTGTAAAATTTGGTTTCTGACATATATATGTAGCCCAGTAAATTAGATAAATTTGGTAGGAAAATTTAAAAAAATTTTAACAGCGTTTTTTTGATAAAGTTTACTATTATTTCAACATTCCGCCATCTCGGATTAAACTTTTTTGGGGTTTTTTGCGATTTGCAAGCTTATTTTGCATTTTTCGCAACAAATGGTTAAATACAAATATGTATAGAATTTAATTTCCCAGATTTATTATATAGAAGATTTTTTTTTTTAATTTTATTGTAAAAAATTAGCAAAAACTGCGAAAAAATTTTACATTGTCAAGGCGCATTCCGTACATCGCTATGTGTATTGCGTTCCCGGCCGTGATCTAAGCGTCGTACAAAAAAAAAATGTAGGTATAAAAGTTGTGAAGAATGAAATTCTCTACAACTTTGGAATTTCAATATGCAATGAATTTTCAACAGAAATTGTCAAAAAATGGCAAAAACCGTGGCAATGTAAATTTTTTTCGCAGTTTTTGCTAATTTTTTACAATAAAAAATGCTATTTTTAAAAAAAGGTGAAATTAAATTCTCTACATATTTGTATTTAACCATCTTTTACGAAAAATGCAAAATAAGCAGTTTATATCTCTTGGCAAAAAAAACAAATACGCTTCTCCTGGCAGTTAAGTAAACAGAGCTTAATAATAAAGTGAGGTCAATGATATCGAGATGTTTTGCAACGTCAATGAGTTGCAATCGCAAGTAAACGTTGGGGACAACTTATGCGTATGTATGTATGTGCATCTGGGTGTACATTGGCATACGAAAGAAAGTCACAAATATCGTAAAATTTTTAAGCCAACACTTGTAAAAGAGCCTGCAGTTGCAACAGACAGCTAAAGAAAAAGCGGTGTATCAACTGATTCAGCTTTAAAATATAAAATTATTTAAATTTGTGCTAAATATGGAACTCAATGGCAAAAATGTGATCTATGCTGGTGGTTTTGGTGGCATCGGACTGGCTTGTGTCAAAGAATTTCTCGCAAAGGGTGTAAAGGTAAAATTGCCAAATAGGCCGCTTTAAGTAAGTTAAATAACAGACAAATCATATTTTTTCAGAATTTGGCCATTTTTGATCTAACAGAGAATAAGCAAGCTTTGCTGGAGTTGCAGAATTCGCATCCAGCCTCTACAATTCATTTCATACAATTTGATGTGTCTAAAAAAGAAAGCATAACAGCAGCTTTCACCGATGCTGTGGAGAAAATGCAGCACTTTGACGTGTTGATCAACGGTTTCGCCATAATGATGGATGAACACATTGAACTGACAGTTGAAATTAATTTGGTAATAGAAGTTATTAAAATACAAATTTGCAAAAATAACGCCTCTTTTATCAACTGTCATTAGTTGGGTGTTATCCACAGCACTCTCACTGCACTGCCTTATATGGATAAGTCAGCTGGTGGACGTGGTGGTATCATTATGAATGTCTCATCTGTTGCCGGTTTGGAAGCAACCGCTTTGTTTGCCATTTATTCAGCCACTAAGCATGGCGTTACAGCATTTACGCGTTGCATGGCGGTTTGTATGAAACATTATTAATTTTCTTAATTCCTTAAATTTTTTTCTTTCCTTTTAGGATCAAATCTACTTCGATCATTTTGGCGTTCGCTTCATAACAATATGTCCGGGCATGACAGATACGGGTCTCATAACAAATCTTCATAAAAGAGTGACCTTTGAGTTTACTCAAGACGCTACTAAAATCTTCTATGATGCCAAAAATCAGAGTGCAGAAACGTGTGCGAAGAATATGATAACGGTTATTGAGACGGGAAAGAATGGTGGAGTGTACTTACTTGATTTAGGTGATATTAAAGAGATTACTTATCCGGAGTTGTTTTAAAAGCCTTAAGCGCTGTTATTTAATCCTATAACGGTAACGCTAATGCATACATAAATACGTATGTATGTACGTAAAGTTTACGTAGTACATTTTTTCGGTTTTAAATCATTTATTTCATAGTTTTGTTAAAAAAAAGTCTGAATCGGTTACACATATTGTTATGGCGCTCTCGTTTCTACCGAAAAATGTTACCTTCTCTTTGCCCTCTACGTACAACCACTAAGAAAAGAGCAATGAGAAGGCAGCAACAAAAACATCGCAATTATATGCGTCCATAATTTCCGGACTCCTATATTTAGAGCGTAGAAATAAGTTACGCTCTCACAAGTGTCAAAAATGTGTCAACACATGCCAAAACTGCCCAGAGCGTGAGGAAGGCAAAAAGCCACATTTCGTGCCCGGAATCAACAAACCAGCTCTAAACAATAATTTTATTTGTATTTACCTTATATGGCGAATAAAATTTGCAAATAATTACATTTTCTGAAACTTCTGTGGTATTTTCCATTTATGTGTTTAATAAAATTTACTTTCGGATTTAAACAAACAACATCTGTTATGGTAATTTGAATTTGCACATTTGCGCACGAAGAAGAAGATATTTACGATCAAAAAGTGGAACGAGTTCGCTCTCTATTACCCATTTTTCTGGCGTGAGGAACGCTTTCTGGGATGTTTTGGGCAGCCCGCGGGTGGCCTGTGGAACAAACCTAATATGATACGAAACTCTTTCTCTCGAGAGAGCGCTGTGAAAATATGCATTTTTCCAACATCCCCCAATATTGCCACAGCAGCGAAATAAATATTGGGATGTTTATTGAGTAAATTTTGGTGAACTTTTTTATTTAACAAAACAAGTAAATTTTTTGGAATTCTAAAGTCTTCTTCATTATTTAATGCGTTTTCTTCAAAAAGCTATATTTAAGCAAGGATCTTGCTATGTGATTGCAGGAAATCCATCGAAATTAAATCGGTGCGTTTTGTGCGTATCTAGTGGCAGCTCGCTATTTTTATTGTCAGCTGTTTAGTCCAACTTTATTTGACAGTGCTGCCAAGTCAGAATGAGAGAGTTTCGTACCATGTCATCCTTGTCACTGCAACATCTAGAAAAAGACTAATGCATTTGCGTTTTTTTCAAATTCCCAGAGGTTGATGAAGGCACTGTCAAAGCGAAAAATTTGTGTACGGTACCTAGGCGACATAACAGCTGTTTATGTAAAATTTACTTAGTTACCATTCTAGGGTTAATAGGAGTGTTCTCGTATTGGAAATTATCTAAAATTGTTGCAAATTTTCAAGTTTTTGCGTTCTAGTTCCCGAAAAAATTGCATTTACATTTCATTTTGAGAGAAAACTGCAAATTACTGCTGAAAAAAGTAAAAAAAAATTACTTTCGAAAACTTGCAAGTAAGAAAATCAGCGGATCGACACTATTTCTTGAATAAAGAGAAGAAAATACCTACATATTCCACAGAATATTTATTTGCAAATTTTATAACTATTTTTGTTATGCGATGGAAAAAGAGCGTAATGTTATTAAGCACAAGATTTATTAAGCGTTCTTCTTAATAGATTTACTATTATCCCGACAAAAAATGCAGCTAATTAAAATGGAAAAATTTTGAATTTTAAAGATACATTGTTTTATATATTTTTTTCTGAACGTGGATTGGATTTGTGTTGGAGTGAGCGGTCGCTTTTTTTTACTTACCACTAATAAAAGCTTGTCTTAAAAAAAAACTTTGTTTATATTACTTGCTTCAACCTGTTTCGTAATACTTTGCACAAAAAATTTGAAAAATTCACGTCAGTTTTTTTGTTTGAAGCGTCTGCAAAATACCGTGGATTTTTGACATTTTTCTTTTGGCATGCATTTTTTTTCAGTCATGGTTACTATATTCAACCATTTTTTTTATGGAAGAAAATAAAACCGTCGGCAAAAAAATTATCAAAAATCAACGCGAATTCTTATCCTCTTAAAACTTGCACTTTTTTCTAGTACAATTTAGTGAGTTGTAAAACTGCGTACTTGTATTTTTCTATATTATGAAAAAAAAGTTTGTTGCTGTTATAAAAATTTGTTGAAGTTTTCTATAAATATTGATTTATATTTATTTTTAAGTATTATATAATTAGCTAGAGCTTAATAAACATAAAACAAACGAAAGAAAAGTACTCAAAATGTCGCGTCCCAGTTTTTGACATGACTCTATGTACATATATGCATTTTTATAACGCGGTTTCACGAGCAATTTGCTGTTAGTTTATATTGTTTTGTATCTAAGGCTGATAAATTTATGCTACTTCTGTTCATCAAAAAAACATTAGGTAGCTAAAAAGTACTTTTTCATCAAAATCCAGTATTTTTGAAAAAACGACAGTAACTATTTTTGGAATTTAAAAAGTATAATACTGAAAAAAAGAATAAATCTTTAAGTATGCGTGTCATATTTGTACTACCACTTTAAACGATTTTTTCAGAGTATTGCAGAGAATTTTTAAGAAAGAAAGAAATTTTTAAAGATCTTATACGATTTTTCGTCGAGTTTTCTGAAATGAAATNGTAGATAAATTTTAAGAATTTTTAAAGATCTTATACGATTTTTCGTCGAGTTTTCTGAAATGAAATAAACTACATATGAGCACTTCGATTCTTTTACGAAATTTTGGATAAAAATCGGTAAAGCAATGAAAATAATGCTGCTATGTGAAGAATTTCTTGCAGAATTTTCTTTGTTTTTCGTACAGAAATTTCTTTACGAGTTCGTGTCAACCACTTCATATAATTTTCCTTCAAGATTCGTAAAAGAATCGTTACAGAAGTGAGATACTCCTAAAGATTTCTTTAAGATTTCGGGACCTTTGGATGGCAGAGAGTCTCTACAAATCGAAGTTCCCTCTCTCTGATATGTATAACGAATAAAGAATATGAAATAATATATACAATTGTTTTAAGAAAAAATACCAAACAATTTGTAAGTTCTTCGTAACTATTATTTGAATGAAAATGTGCCTCAACGACGAATATATTGTTTGCAGGGTCGGAGCTGCTTACTACTTTTGGCCGCAGCTTATATAGGGGTGTCCTACTGTGCGACGCCGCCGCCGCATAAGCTATCGGCGTAAACCTCTAATATGGCTTGACTTACTACATACGAAGCTTGTGCACTGATGTTACCGAGCAAGTTAATGCAATACTTGTTTTTTTTTTT